TGCACAGTAAAGCGCGTGGCGGCATTCAGTGACGGCGGTGGGCAGTAGTAACTGAGTCATATAATACTGCCAAGAGCGAAATGGGTCACGAGGGATTATATAACGGTATCAGCTGCGGCAGCACCGGGGGCAGTCCCCCCCCCCCCAAACAAACTGAAACCCTTTGTGTCAGCAAAATTTGCCCCTCAAAATGAAGAAAATAGCATTTCAGAAGGCCTAGATTTCAAAATCTGAGCAGATCTCGCTCCATGCAAAATGTCGTGCCGTCGCCTCTGTTTATATAACCATACATAGTGTTATTGCCGTGTATCAGTCGCTTACGCTGTGAGAATCAAACGGACACTAGAGGGCGCCATTTTCAAATTACACAGGTAGCCTTGAAGACAAGCCATAAACAAGAAGTCGTAGTTATCTTGAAGACAAACCGATGTTATTAAGAGTCGTGTAACAAGAATTAGATAGACCATATACCTCAATCTAAATAAAAATAAAATAAAATAAAACAAACAATACAAAATATCATCGTCAAAATACTTCATGTAAAAAATAATTATTAAATTATAAATTAAATTATAAATATTTCATACACAAATATTTCTATATTTATTTATTAATGAATTTCACCACAGCTTTATTATCTCACGTCAAGTGAACACATTGTTTTCAGCGTAAATTTCAAGCTCACTGCGGACATCCTTAGTAAAAATATAGCTTTCGTTGTAGATGGCTAGTAGTGTATCTCGTGTTGGACTGTGTACTTTACAATTACAGTCGTAATAGTCCTACAATGATTCTGTAGTGGTTACAACAAACTACAGTGAAAACAATTGAGATCTTATCTGTTATTACGGAGTATAGACAGAGGATACTCCATGGCCTGACATGTAGGCGTGAGTAGGCCCTCGCCGGCTGAACGGCATCAGACCTAACTGTTGGGTTTGGAGCACCGCAGAGGGCGCAACTCACGCGACCTCATGTGATCTCTCTAACTTCGCTTGTATCTGTCACTCCCCATGACCACTGTGACATGTTCACGCAATGGTTATAATTATCGTACTACCCTTTTTCCGAGATCAAAACAGATAAAAATTCCTGTGAAAAACGGGAAAGCGCGAAAAATCACCAGACATACATGAGTGTTCACCACAATGACCAAAGCTTAGATTTAAAAGAAAACAATTTCACTATTAATATATATTTTAAATAGTGTTATCACTCTTCAAAATTTTCTGGGGAAACGATGAAACTTCCTTAGCAAAACAGTCAAAATTGCAGCTCAGAAAGTCTTCAAATACACCAGAAAACGACTAAACATATTACTTGAATTATACGCTAAACGAATACATGTACTCTTAAAATTAGACTTATGATGATTGGCTTATGAAGCATGATTTAAATAAACAGAATATATACATTGAAACAGTAACTGCGAAACCAACTTCCACTCAACATGAGATTCCTTCTCGCGTACGGGTCTTCTAGCGTGTATTTATCTGTAGTTTTAAACCAAACCATCAGTATACGCAATATATTTGTGAAACTACCAAACTTTTGTCAAACGTTCACGATATACACGGGGAATGTGTCTAATATTAATCCTAGAACGAACAGTATAGAAAAAATGGCTTACATAGATATATAAAACAATCCAAGGTGAGAAAAGATAAGTTAAAATTAAATTCGTCTCTGTACCTTAAACTGGACAGGAAACAAAATTCCATTCCGTCTAACCCTATTAGAGACATTAAATTCATCTGAACACACAGAACCTTATTGGACAAACACGTCTGTGTGTAAGACACCGGTAAAATAAACGTTTGACAAATTTCAAACATCACAAAGGGTAAGCGTACAGAATTGTGTACCGAGGTTAACGCGATATGTGAAGTATCATGCGTTCAAAGCCAAACTAACAGCAAATCGTATAAGAAAACAGGTATGTATGATCTCGGAGAGTAATGTCGACACGTTCGCTCACATAGATTGGTGTCCATTCCGAAATACCTCTCTCCATGAATAATATTTGGAAGCAATTTGCTGGAGAATTATCTTTTAAAATGTATGATGGTGCCGTGTTATATCTTCCGATTTGTCCTTAACAACATGTATAATATCAGTTTTGTCTGACATATAGCCATGATCAGTCATAGAAGTAAAATATACGACACAGGTTATTTTATTTGTTATGCACGTCACAGAGTTACAAGTGCTGGTCAAGAGTGTGTCTTCTTAAGGAAAACATCCCCCCTCCTGACTCTATGAATTAATCATTAGACAGTATGTACATCCCTGACAAAGTAGAACAATAATGTTTTAACTGACAACAAGAGACAAGAGTTTCTGCTCGTGTGAAGCCTATAGCCAATTCCAATTCTCTGCACCTTTAATTGCAATTTTTTTTTTTTTTTTTATAAATGTTGAGTTTTGTTTGTTTTTTTGTTTTTTTGGAATCTATAGTTTATTTCAGGTGCCGGCTTTTTTGAGTGACGACTCTTAAGTCTTTTCAACGATTTTAAAAATAAAAATATTTTATTTTATTTTATTTTATTTTATTTTATTTTATTTTATTTTATTTTATTTTATTTTATTTTATTTTATTTTATTTTATTTTATTTTATTTATTTTATTTTATTTTATTTTATTTTATTTTATTTTATTTTATTTTATTTTATTTTATTTTATTTTATTTTATTTTATTTTATTTTATTTTATTTTATTTTATTTTATTTTATTTTATTTTATTTTTAATTCTATCTGGAAATGGAAAAAACATACAATGAGACAAATAATTGTTAGTGGAATGATAATATTTAGGTTACACTATAATATGTGTAGGGCGTCTCAAATCCTCGAATTTTGCTCAACCACAATATTTTAGAATTCATTCTCTTCAAGTGATTGCAAAGTATCATGAACGAATTACAATTTGGTACAGTTGTTTTCAAGTGTAATAATTTCTGGCGCGTTTTTACAACCAGTGTCTTTGTTTTACTAGACAACATTTTGTTGTTTACGCACCAACTTCTAATGGATTCGATATTTCCATGTTTGGAATGCTCAGTATCCAACAGACTTTTACCTTTTTGCAAATATGCAATTTTTGAGTCGTCGGCATACATTTCAATGATATTATTTACGAGAAAAAGCAAATCATTAAGAACAAAATAAAAAAGTGGACCAAGTATACTATCCTGTGGATCTTCTTTCGAAATGGTTAGGGATTAAGAGAGTCTTAAGTTGAAAGCGAATCACTTGGAAACGATTTTAAAGATACAACTTGAACCATTCCAGTTAGACACTTCTACCCTGGTCAATGAGATCGAAAGCCTTACAAAAACCAATACAAGTAAAACCATTTAAAACAGACTAACTGTAAAACATGTCTTTTTATCTAGCATGTTATTTTAGCTAATTTAGCTAATCTGTAATTTCGCTAATTCAAGATGTAGCTAATCTAACAGCAAGTGTATTCTCACAGAAAAATAGACACTTCAGCTAAATTAAGATTCTATTAATTCATACCAAGTGACAAATCCGCTAATATTGCATGCAGCTATTTCAACATGAGCTACAATAGGTCTTCATTTGAGAAATCCGTTGATGGTGAGGATAGGAAAGATAGAAATACTTGCAAGCTGGTTAAAAACGAATATCATTTCGTTTTGATATGTTCAAATTGTGAAACACTTAGAGACAAATTCATTGCAAAATGTTCTTTCACTCCAACATGAATTACTAGACAATCTTGGCAAATCAATCTTTTGCTCTACTACCAAGAAAATACAACTCCCGGTGAGTACTGTAAAATGACTAATTTTCACTGGGTTTAAATTTCGCTGATTTACCATTTCAGGCATATTCAGTGGGTTTTAAATTAACAGTTTTATCATTTAGATAATGTGTTCTATGCTAAATTTACATATTCACTGGGTTTTAATTTAGCGCATTTTCCAGTCAGCGAAATAAGCTAAATTAAAACCCATTGAATAATTAACCCTTTTAACCCAACTAACCACGTATTTGTTTATTTCACAGCACTGTATATAAACATTATACACTGTAGACAGAGGACTGATTAGTATCCCGATGGTCAAAACTTAAGGCTGCTAATATTCACGAATAAACAACTTTAAAGGAAACCGAGTTGTGAAGATACCACGTGAATGGGTAACATGCGTGATGCATATCAACATTGGTCTGTTTTTGAAAAATGACTAAAAATACGTTTTTTATTATAGGTTCTCACAAACTTTTAAAATAGTATATGAAAAAACTGTCGTTCAAGTTGTGCGCGGCAGCCGTCTCGGTCCGAGTGGCAATAAGAAAATCGTCTTTCAATTACATATTTAATAATATTTTTAATCATTGCCGGTTTAAACTTTCCGTGAGCACCGATCGCTCTATTTCACCTAGTATTGTTACGTCTGTACAGTGTTTTTAATGTTATTGCAATATATTGGAAACCACCACATGCAACTGAGGTACCCTTTACTGACTGTGTCAGCTTGCATTTCATTTGACCCGAAACGATTATATTGTTTTATACTAAACCCTATTCAACTTTAATAGTCGGTGACCTTTACGCTATCGGGGGTGTAGATTAATCAATTAAATATTTATTTTTTATTTATTTTATTTTATTTATATGGATGTAAATATGGAAGTAAATACGGAACTTGAATACGCCCATGGTGCAAGCAGTGCAATTCTGGCTCGTAGAGAAGGGAACGCGTGCGTCAACCGATATTAAATGCTGTACTAGTCACGATTGATGTTATAATAGTTCATTCACGATTAATTTGCATCATGTGGTACACCCTAGTTCACAGCGTGAAACAGAAACAACGGCGGTTCACGCTGCCACAGGTTAGTATGTATATTCACAGTATTTATACAAATCGGTGGGTGGGTTATAAATAGCAAACCAATCAACAGCGACGTGACTGCGCCCTTCGTCCAATAGCCACCAACTTTCCCTTTTGTAGACGCGGTTGATTAGGAAAATACCCGGATGTAATACGCTGGCTCGTTTACTACACACACTCGCTATTTTCACGAAAATCGACGTGGGACTGGATTAGATCTGCGAAATAAAAACATCGTCGAGATGACCGTCTTTTAAGGGGTAAGATAATGCAACTTTTTTGGAAGGTCAAAGAAACGATCGTGACAGAAAAATTGTTGGTACCAGCGTGGTTGGTAGGATGCTTTTCCCGGCCCTTTTGTATCTCAACTTCAGTTTGCATCTGAATGGCGTTAACAGTGTCGTTAATACTGACCTTTTGTAGTGGATTTTAAATTACTACAATCTATTGTTAGCGACTTGAACTGGTGGGAACGCCATGCTGCAGATATCGGCAAAATTGCCCTTATTTACGAATTGGTTCAACTAAACAGGTAGTGTACATTAAATATTTGTAACTTGAACAAAAGCGCAGATGTTAGATAATTCGATGTTAATGTTTTACTTTCGAACTACAGTCGCCGATCATTTGCATTTTATTATTTGACTTGCCGTGGTCTTCATTGGTGAGCGGTAATTTTTCCCACAACTGGTTATCCCATGTTTTGCGACCATTAATTAGGCACAGGATTAGCTTTTCAGATAAAAAAACGCACTTTATAGAGACATAACACGACCATGTAATGTCGTCCCCACCCAACAACCGGAGGCCAATATGCGCTGTTTTATATTGTTTATATGTGTGCACAGGTTTTGCCCCCCCCCCCCCCCGTGTAATACATGTACATTGTACTACAGTTTAAGTTAATAACAAAAACCATGTCGATGCGCTGTAGTTTCTCCCGGAGTGTGGAGTACTTATCCTAGTTAACGTACATTATTAAGGCGATATAATGTAACTCTGTGTTTAGAAGTAAAACCTTTATATTAATATAAAATGCCAACCCAAATTGTTACAATATTGCCCGGAAGGTTTTCTATTTTAAAATAATAAATACTAATTGCGAAGGACATTATCGTTAAGGCATGGTTTCTTCGGTCTTGACATCGGCAAATCTAAAAAGGGCCCGTTAACTCAATTCATTAAATTATAAAAAATCTCCATGGAAACGAATTTATGGCAAGACTCCAATATTGTCGCAAACTGTGTGGAGTCTCGTCCGGAGTCTCGTCAGGTGAAAGGAAGCAGGAGAACAGCAAACGCATGCAACCCGGAAGTGACCGAATTGCAATAAATGCAAGCTGTTGGTGTTCATCAAAAGCAGGTGTTATTCAACTAACGCATTTGTTTAAACCTTGGAGAAGGTAATATGTTGTGTGTGTGATATGGCAACAAAAATTGCTTTTTTTTTTTTTTTTTTGATATGCTGGGGATAAGCAGTGGTGGACATTTTTAAACACAGTTCTATGGTATCCATTGCTCATTATGCTTCATTTGAATAATTACATGTATAATTAAATTGAGACTGTAATTAAATGAAAATTTTAAATTAAATCATTGTTTGATTAGATTTAATACATGGATCTAGGGCACTTGTATTTTTCCCTCCCACACGAGTACAGTATTATTTTTGGCACAAGCTGCCCACACACTATCAAGGGACCATGCAAATGTGAGAAATGCAAATGCACAGAAGTTTTTTTTTTTTCATTTTTTGCACGTATTAAAAACAAACAAAAATATAACATTGACTCATGAGAACAAAAATATCACATCCAACCTTCTGTTCTATTGTCTCTACTATGTATTTTAATATAAATACAAAGTCATTAATAAATACAATATCCGTCATACTACCAGGAATAACCGTATATTCAATTTTTCATTCAAAACTGAATAATTACGCAGTCACCCAATATTGCTGTGGTTCACTGTCTACCAGTGTTATCATGTTGTTTTTGCTATGAAAACATGATGCAACAAAGTTTAACTTTCTTAAGTTAGTTCCATCGTGGAGATAATAATAATTATTATTATCATGGTTCCATTTAAACAATGTCCTTCACAGTTGTATTTACTGTCAATATACTTTGTACCGATATGTAAATCAGTATATTTTTAGATTAGATTCCAATATATTAGTCTTTTATTAATTAAGTACGTACACTGAAAACGTGAAATTGAATTTTCAATATTGGTGATCAAAACACTGTAAGGCCCAGAACAAATATAAATATTTTAGGTCATTATGTGTGATTACTTTAAAATATGTGTGGCACTTTTGAAAGACAACTAAAAAAAACAATCATTTTTAAAAACAATTTAAAAAATAAATGTACACAAGATGAATTTAACTGTCAAGTAATGTGAAAGTTAGTTTAGTTCAACTGTTATAAGTAACATATATTACATACAAAATTAGCCAGTCATCTTTTAAAGACTTCAATGTCTCTGTTTTATTACTTGATTTACCTGTTTGTGTTCGAATAGAAAACAGTCTTTTCTATACAGCTAAATTAATAAATTTTGTCTTATCTTATAAAAAATATTGGTACCCCCCCAATTTTTAATATATAAATTTTAAAATATTTTTTCAAAAAAATTGAACAATAACTGCTGTCAATGGGAAAACATGTTTATTTAATCATAAATTAACAAAAAATGTGTAAAAAAATGCCAAACAATGTTGGTGGGTAAAATTATTGTTTTCAAAAAATTTGGTAGTTTATTTTGTTAGGTGGTGAAGCTTTCAATTCCTTGGCAGTACTTTTTATTTATGTGATGCATCTTTCTGTTCAATGTCCTTATATCCACATCACATCTCTCTGCAATCTGAATCTTAATAAATATAATATAAATATCATTATTATAATAAACAGGAAGTACAATGTACCTAAATAGTTGCACAGGAATCATTTGACTATCAATTTTACCAATATTAAATTATTATATCTATAATCTGAAATCATTCATTTTTTTCTCAGAGTGTTATTGAGGTCTTGGGACTATTATGACTAATAAATTGTCAATAATTTCAGTGTTAAATGTCGAAATTTTTTGTTTTCCCTGTTTGATTATATGTTTGTATTTGCTGACATGACTGAATTTTTCCAGCCATTTGCACATTTAAAAAAAGCATTTAGAAAGATTTTATTTTTTAAAGACAGTAATATAAATATTTGACAGTGAAGCCTTATAAGGCCAATAAGTTGTACATGTATATGTATAGTATTTACTGAGTATTTCACTAGTGAATTAATTATTGTATTATTACTATAAACACATTGCAAATTGATTGATATGTAGGCCTATCGGTGATATAATAATACTGTGATAACAAGTACTACAGTAAAATCTGTATTAGAAGCCGCATCTCTAATAGAAGCCGCACCCATTCTTTTTGAACAATTCAGACCCCAAAATTTGCCATTTCTCATATGTGTAGATGCTCTAATAAAAGCCGCATCTCCTCTGTTGCATTGTACCATTTTAATAAAAGCCGCAGCTTTTAATACAGATTTTACTGTACTTATAAGACCTGTCTAGGGTTTCATAGCTCTTTTCTGAGTTTGTCAACTTATTTCCACCTTTTTGAATTTTATTTGAACGTCTTTTCTTATTGCTTTGTGTTGTTCTAAGATTTTACTAGTGTAGGCAGGAATATCTGCTGCTTTCTTGGAAAATGCTGACCTTTCTGAACTTGACTGCCCTATCTTGTGACCTTTTAAATGGTCAAGGAACTCGCTTGTAACTTATTTGACCTGGACTGGCCCTTTCTTAATATTTATATCAGTAAGTTGACCGATTTCATTAGCCACATGTGATCTATCCTTCATTAGCTTAAATCTGTGGAAAAACCCAGCGTTAACAAAAACTAGGTCATTCCCATAATGAACAGATAGCTTGACCCAATAGCATAAAATCGTATACAAACTATTCAGAGAGAGAACTTTTTCTCACTTTTTTAAATTTGTCATTTTCATTATCTTTTATATTGAAAAAACAACAAAAAGCAAAAATACATGTCAAAATCTTCAAAGAAAATTGTATGTAAAAAACCTTGCTTGACGATCTGGTACGTTGACAGTTCACCAAGTTCAAGTACAATGAATTCTGGGTAAAATATCATACCATGCACTGTGCCTTATATGATTTGACTCTATAAGGACAGTTTATTATTTTCTAGTTTCTATAACATTTTGTAAAGTAAATTTGTGTTGAAATACTTAAATAGAACTCTCCTTATGCTAGCCTCTTGAATCAAAATTGAACATATGGTGAGGCAAAATATACTAATAAATGCATCTTTACAGATGCAATGGTTACCATGGAAACAACATTGTTTCTTTTCTTGCAGGTTATTTTAAGTTTTTGTCTTTTTTTGATCAACATTGTTCTCCTTTTGTGTCATGTTTGATAACTTATTAATAAATTCAGAGATTCTATTCATGTTTAATAGAGAGAGTGTTACTATAGTCGTCAACAGAAATCAGTGAGACCTAAATATAGGTAGTGCGGAATGAAATTAAAACTAAGCTAAATTTTAGGGACTGTATTCATTCAAATTGACAACCACCAGGAAATCTTGGGAAATTATTTGCCTTTTATCAAAAAATGTTTGTGCTCAAATTTATTTCTGCTGATCAGTGAGCGATATTTGCTCACCAATATTAGCAAGCTGCCAAAAATGAAAACAAACAATTGTGAAACAAGTCTGGCAGTAACAGACTAAATAAAGCTGGTTGAAATTTCAATCCTATGATATCCCAAACTATGGAGTTTAATTTGCATATCAATTGATCTATTGTTGTTTTACTATTGTTACAATATATTCTATCCCACATCAGATTACTTTATTGTGAAAACGGTACATGGTATACCATGCTAAATTTGATCACCCCAGGAGCCCTAACTTTAACATCATGTTAATTCAAGGTGGTTGAATTCATTGCCACCCATGCTATGGTAGCGCCATGCTTTAATAAAACCGGCATATTACTGAAACCGGGCATACGCAGTGATCACAACTGATATTGTTTTTCTTTTACTTTCCCAGGGTCTACAAATACAGGCTTTAACGCTTGGATGAGATGTTTTGTCGTCTGGGACTGGTGCAGTTTTACAAACACTGTTAAATGTGGATTTAGTGTCGACTGGATGAGGTGGTGTACGTTACTACGTCGGAGAGAGCGGTGATAATTAATGACGCAGAAGAAAATGTACTTTTGTTACTGAATCGGAATGCTTAAATATGTTGAACATGTCACAACATGACCGTTCACTGTAACTACCGAACTGCAACGCAGTCATCATAAATAATGTAGTGAAGATTTGTATAGCATGTGACGATTACTATTATACCACTTTTCAAAGTACGTACTAAGATTGTTTTTAAAGGATAATAATTGAACAGGATATCTTCTGTAATATGTCGCACAGTGGAGGGAAGAAAGTGCGAACGTTAGCACATCAATTGCTGGATCAAGATGAATGTATGGCACTGAAAACGGCGATGAGAAGTTTCTGCGAAAACCACTCAGTATTAGCGTTTTGTACAGCATTACATGCCATACTTAACACAACCGAAAAGCAAACCATTCTCAGCGAACTATACGTAATGGTGCCAGATCATTTGAAAACAAGTTTCCAGCAGTTGTGCGATTTGAATTTTGGAACTAATATTGGTCTAAGCGTAGAACTAACGGATAACGATGGACAATCACATGAGCCTCAAATGAGATCTGCGACAGACTCCCAACTCAGGCGAAGCATTTCAGAGACAGATCAGAGACGTAAGAAGAAGGATGCGAAAGATGAAGGCAGCAAGAAAAGAGATAAAAAAGATAGAAAGAGAACTAAAAGCGAACATGATGTAGTCACAGAATTGCTAAATGTCAGCAGTGAAAATGATAATATCGTGACAACGAAAGAAGTGAAAGTAAGGAAAGTCAAATTGGAACATAAAAACGGACATAGTTTAGGGTTTTGTATTCGTGGCGGTGTGGATTTGAGAACTGGAATCTTTATTTCACAAGTTGATTCTGGAAGTCAGGCACAGAAAAAGGTAGGTTTGATTTCATCCTCAAATACGATTTATGTATTAGTGAATAGTTCCCATGGCAACGTACATGTATCTGAAATAGTGTTGGAGCAACAAGTACTTAATATAAATTGTACACATTGTCCGTCTTTATTTGCATCAAATCAACAATGTCAATTATTGAAGTAAGAATTTCTAAAATGGTGATTTTGGTAAAATTTAAACCATGAGGTCGATATTGGAGCTGTATTTCTGTTCTCAATATGTCATACTTTTATTTAAATTTTTATTAGTTATAAAGGCATTATTTGCATTTGTCAAGTTTTTCCCGCTTTTTAGTCCACTTAATAAAAAGTGTGTAAACACAAGGTGATAGGGCATGTAACATAGCATATATGCATGTAAATAGTTTGCAAATAGAAAATAATTTTTTGGAAGATCATCAATTATTTGTCTGGCCATCTAGTATGTTTAAGAGTCACTTTGCTCAGTATAGAATCATTAAAAAATATAAATTAAAATTAACAATAAAATACAGTTTATGTCCCTTCAACAAGATTTGTTAATAATTTCTTGATAAAATACACTGTAACCTCATCATAGTGAACTTTTAGGGGGACATACAATTGGTTTGTTATAGTGAAGTGTTCACTATGAAGAAGCAATGTGATGATTAAATTCAAGAAATTTATTTTAAAGGTGTTCGTTATAACAACGTTGCAGTATATATGAAGCAGATTATAAAACAAGCAATGTGTATATATGAAGGTGTAATGTTTAACTCAGATTAATATCCTTTTGCAAACATAAAGCCAAAATTTAAAGGCGACAAAAAGTTTACCTTGGTTGAAGTTAAAATACCTCTCTAAAGTAAAAATTATGTTATTTTGCAGTTTTTACTTGCATGACATTTGATGATGAATCAATTGAGTCACTGTATAATGTTCAGGGGAAACTCGATGTGAAAGGGATCTGCTTTGTTTTCTGTGGCTTGAAAATATCTCAATTACTCAAATTATACTTCATAACACAGAGTGAATATTATTACAAAATTAAATTGGTTCTTAATAAAAAAAAAAATGTTTTTGTTGTGGTCCAAGGAAACTGCTGTTAAAATTTCATTGGTTCTTAGTAATAGTATTGTAACAGATGCAACTTATTTGTAACAATTAGAACAATATTTTAATCATGTTTATTACAAAAACTGATGTGGAATAAAATCAAATAAAAAATATATGATACATAATCTATTAATAATTTCACGATAATACATGTATAAATAACTAGAGAGTAATTAATATGGTATTAGTAATGAATAATATCTAGTAATATTTAAGAGTTTTACTTAGCTATGATGTGTGCAGATGTTGCAGCGTTGTAGGAAGTGAGAATAGTTTTGTTGACAAAAGCCCAGAATTATTTACAATGTAACAATGGTGACACAGATGGGTTGGCGAGGATTTACGCTGTGCCCATAGTGTGCGCAGTCTTTATTAATTTCGATGAGTGACGTATATGTTGATGCTGTTGTTAGTATCACGGCATGTTTCGTGACGCGCTATTGTTTAATTTCTGGCATGTGTTGTATGATATACGCTATCGTTAATATCCTCTGTCGCATCAAATATGATTCAAATATGAGTTGTCCTCGGGGTGTAATTAGGAATGATCAATTTGTTAAAATATTGTCGTAAATATTGAGATTACGATGTATCACCAGGTGCGGCATTCCTCATTGTGCCACCAGATGTGTTGAATCAATGACCTTGAAAACTATTCTCATGTTACGTTCGTGTACATGCACATTGTTGTATTAATATATAGAGATCTATTCCAAGGAGAATGTTTTATTGATCTTTTCAAAATAATTTTAAAATTATATTAGCTCATTTTGTTGTATTTTATCATCACGTACCACTTAAAAGAAAAAAAAAACTATTGTACATTGCATAATCTAAAATGCTACAATTTATCAGAGTTATTTGATGATTACTTCATGGTGCCGATTCAGGGCGAGTTAGAAATATAATAGGGAATGATGATACTGATGTGACAATGATTTTTAAATATGTACAAAATGCAGTGATGTAGACTTGCTACAGGCTGGTTGATTTATTTCTTAACTGAAAATAAGTAAAAATACAAGTTCTGCAAAAACTAGTATAAACAATTTTGCAATATTACTTACGAATTGGCAAAACTGAAATTTTTATTTATCGGTTTGAAAAAAAATTATTATTATGCATGATTGTGGAGGGATTAATAAATCTTCAAAAATGAACAAGTACAGATGAGAGGCTGAATACTAAAAATAAAAACACACCATAAATGCAGGTTCCATGGAGTACTGTATAACAAGTCACTATGTCCCATCATGCAATGCAACAGGTGGTTGTTAGATGCTTATACTACACTGTATATCAGTGTGTCATGGCCTGGTGTTACAAGATTCGGTTCATGATATATGAAACAAAACCTCTGCAGTCATCAAAATAAATAAATGAAGTAAAAATAAAAACAAAGTAATATATTATATTATTATACTTCTCTCACCATACTGCTATAAGTTACAGCGTGCCGTAATTTTGCAGTACTTTGCGAGGTATTCCCATTATGATGTATCCTTGGAAGGAAAAGATGTATAATAATAAGGTTATTACGAGGATAACTTAAAGTAAGCACTCAGACAGTATGCCGCGCATTGACCTCGATACTCCAGCTGTACTGTCTTCAGGCATACTTTGAGGTATTCTCGTAATAACCTTATATTATACATTGTACACGTATACTAAATATATATAAATAGAGCAGCAAAACATTGCCATACAGAATGTTTGTATAACTCATTAATTTGACCACTTAAACACAAATGTATTATCTGTCACAAAACACATTTTAACCAAACTACCAAATAGTACATTTTTATCAAAATGTTAAATTTCATTGATTCTAATTAATATTACAAATATTACAAAAAATACACATAAGATGTAAATGTTATCACCAGTTTGAAGATTTCTCCACCTTTTATTAGCTCCGCTGTCGACTTTGTCGAGCGGAGCTTATCATATGAGTGATTGTCCGTCCGTCGTTGTCGTCCGTCAGTGTCAATGTTTTACTTTTTCGACTTCTTCTTGAAAACTACAAGCCTAAATGCTTTGATACTTGGTCTATATGTACCTTGGGTAGACCTCTCTTAGGTTTGTTCATTTCCATGTTGAATATCTTTAATTCTCTAATTTTG